ACTGAGCCGGCCAGGTGCCCTGAAACTTAAAACTTAAAAACAACACTGGCCCTTCATCCACTGAGAAGGTGGACACCAGACAGCCTCCAAGAGCAGCAGGCTTTGCAAGTTCAGAGGGACACGGCTCACTGTCACACACTGGTCACGCATCAGCTCACTCCGCTGGGAAACCCCTTCCATAATCAGGTGTGTCTTACTAGTTCATCAGGGAGGACCATGACTTTGTCTTTCTGATGAACTTGGCTCTGGGCAGGAAGTAGCAGGACCGTCTCTTTCATTCCCTGAGCGGATACTGATTGCATACCAACTCTTAGGCTGTGAACAGGACAGAAGTGGGCCATGCTAGTGGGGCTGAGAGTCTTAGGCAAGAGTCAGACTTTTTTTTTAAATGCTTATTTATTTAGTAATAATTGCAGTAACCACTAAGAAGGAAAGATACAGATGGCTAAGACCGTAAACCAGGATGTCTGGGCTGGGGTAGTGGGAGTAAGGGAATATTTCCTTGCAGAGTGGTAAGCTGAGGCCAGCCAGCCAGCTCAGTGATAATGACCCCATGCCAGGAACTGTTAGTCTAAGTGCTCATAGATATCGCCACATACGATCCTCACAGCGGCCCTGTGAGGTGGGTACTCTCATTACCCTTGTTTTACGGATATGGAAACCAAGGCACAGAGAGGCTGAATAACTTGTCCTCGGTTGCACAGCTGGTAAGGGACAGAACCGGGTTACAAACCCAAGCCTGACGCTAGGGGCCATGTTTTTAACCACCACTCCAGGCTATGTCCCGAGGTTGAAGAGTAAGAGAAAGGAAGAGTGCCTGTAGTAAAGGAAGCCACCTATCTGAAATCCCTGAACCAGGAAGGAGTTTAGCTTTTGGGAGCAATGAATGTGAAAGGTCACTGTTGCAGGAGTGTGGATGACGGAGACTAGGAAGGGGAGAGGTGGACAGGAGCCAGACCCCAAGGCCAGGTCAAGGGACTGGATCCTAAGCCAAGGAATTAGTCCAAAATGTCTATCCAATGCTCCACCACAAAGTGCTGCCCTTGGCCTTGAGATGAATGAGTGGCGGGGAGGCCCAGAGTAAGTTTCCTGAAACTATGTTTTAAATATGATTAGACCAGCCCACGCCTGTGCCCACACCTTACATTTATTCCCATGGACCTTGTGATGTTCCCTTCCTCCTCCACTGCTCCCATCCACCATTCCAAATCCCCCAGAACAAGATCCCAGAGCCCTGGGACCATGCCCAAGGAATCTGAGAGAAATGGGGACAAGGGGAAAAGAAGGAAGGAGCCAGCCTGGAGGAGAATCCTCAACTACAGGCACTAGAGACTTTCCAAAGTCATAAAAAAAGAAAAAACCTGAGTGGAAAAACATCACCCAGGAGCTTTGGCAACACACACTGAAAGCCATAAAAGACTTTGTTTCCTTCAACACAGTTAGGGTACTTCCAAGAATTTATTTTAAGGAGATGATTAAGGGTGTGAGCAAAGATGCTGATCATAACTGTGACCATAACAGCAAAAAAAAAAAAAAAACAAACCCAAAACAAAACAAAAAAACTAGAAACAACCAAAATGTCCCCCAGCAGGGGACAGCTGATCATATTAAGGCACAGCTTCTATAGAACGGACTCACAGGCAGCTGTTTAAAAAAATTAAGGTAGATCTCCATATACCTAGAGGTGAGTGTATCCATCGTTAACTAAAAAATAACCCTATTAAGGGTTTTAAAACTATCAGTAGGCCGCATCCAGCACACCTCTGCATGACCCACATTTCATCTGCGTGTATCGATGTTTGTGCGCATACACGTATTTATGTACACACACGTGTGCAGCAGGGTGAATGAGTACCCAGCAATGAGGGAGGCTGTGTGCCAACGTGTGAACAGTAATTCTCTTTCAGTGGTGTTTTTTTTAAAAGATTTTATTTTTACATAATCTCTACGCCCAACGTGGGGCTCGAACTCACAACCCCGAGATCAAGAGTCGCACGCTCCACCGACCGAGCCAGCCAGGCACCGCATGAGTGTTTTCTCCTGTTGGATTTATCTCTATTTTCTAGTTCGGTGCTGACTGTGCCCGGCTTTTATAAGCAAAATAAATAAGAAAGCATACGTAAGGACAATTTTAAGTGACAGGGAACAACTGCAGTTTGTACGTCCCTCAGGGCAAGTTTTCAGAGATGGGACAATCAGAGTAAAGCCCACTTCTGTGTCCACACAGGACCCAGACCTGTCAGGCTCGTCCCGAGGCAGAAGTCCAGCCACACCTCACTCATCAGGCACCACGGGGACAATGACGGTCCCGGCAGGGGGAGGTTTGGGGGTAACAGATATCTGTCGGCATATTCTATGGGATGGCATTTTTATTTTAACTCTTTGGGAGGAACTGTGTTTGAAAGAACACTGGACACTTCTCCGAATTTTCTGAACAGAGAATCTTGAACACAATGAAATGTTTTCTTAATGACACATAACCAGCATCTTCAGTGACTATGACGTCAGTGAGGAAGTACGCCATGGCCCTAAGAGCATGACTGCACGGGAAGCCCAAGGGGCTGGGTTCTAGACCGGCCCCACCTTGGGATCTCAGCCAGGTGACTTCTCCATCTGTGAAAGCGAAGGTTACTGGACTGCACGGCCCCCAAGGATTCTCCCAACTCAGTCCTGTCCCCCACTCGCAGGCCGTCATCCAGCACACCTCTGCTAACTCGCCTGATTCTTCCCTACTTTCTTTTTTTTTTTTTTTAAGGTTTTTATTTATTTATTTGACAGAGAGAGAGAGACACAGCGAGAGAGGGAACACAAGCAGGGGGAGTGGGAGAGGGAGAAGCAGACTCCCTGCCGAGCAGGGAGCCCAATGCGGGACTCGATCCCGGGACTCCAGGATCATGACCTGAGCCGAAGGCAGTCGCTTAACCAACTGAGCCACCCAGGCGCCCCTCTTCCCTACTTTCTGCCTTCAGTTCTCTGCTTCTCATGCACAGACTAAGACACGCAGCTGCGGGTGTTAGAATAATGTGTAAATCAAGAGTTAATAAGCACTGATAAAGGTTTATAAACCATACATCATTATAATAATTTTAAAATATAAGTGTATGTGTATATATACACATATTAGCTTGAACCACATGAAATTCCTAAAAAATAGTCAAATTCACATTGTACCAGCAGCTCGAAGGCCTTTCTGTCTTACTTCCTAGTGACCCAGCTATGTCCCAGATGGCTACGAAGGGGGCAGAGCTGACTTCTGGGTGAGTGGAGGGATTCTTATAAAGCAGCTCTTCTCGGACCAACTGCAAGAGGCTATAAATGGTTTCTAAATTCTACCAGGAGTGGTGCTCAGACTAGAGTGACTGAAATATTTTTCAGAGGAAAAAAAAAAAAAATCTGTCCAAGATTTTAACCACCAGCTGCTTCCACCAGCTGCCAGGACCAGCCCACTATAAATTTAGTCAGGCCAGCAAAGGGTTGATTTTCTGCTGGAATGTCAGGGAGGGACGCTTGCATCAACAAGTGCTTCTCCAAAGGGACATGAGTCACCCTCAGAATGGAGGCAGAGAGGATCTGGCTTCAGAAAGGAAGGCAATCACGTTCAGGTCTAAAACGCCAGCACGTCAGCTCTACACACAGAATCTGTGCCCCAGGAAGAGCCCCAGGCTGAATCTCCTGGGAATCGCTGAGTAATAATCACAATTAATACCAATAATGAGAGAGGGAGGAAAGTCTGGGAGGTAATGGACACGTTTACGCCTTGATGGTGATGAGGGTGTCACAGGTGTGTCCTCAGCTCCAAACTCATCGAGTTGCAGACAGTCAGTAAGTCCAGCTTTTTATGTGTCAATCATACCTCAATAAAGCGGTTTAAAAAAAGAAAAGCGATCGCACACTCCAGAGTTGACAGGCTAATCAAGAGCACGGCAAGTTCAAAGTCTAAAGTAAGAAGAAACGTGAAGGGTGCTAATAGAACAAACTGCCTTAGAAAAACAGGGTTCTCTCAGGCGGGGCCATCTGGAAAGGCCCCCTGAGGGGCGGGGCAAGCAAAGTGCTTAACAGACAGAGGAGTGAGCTTTCCAGATTAAAAAAAGCTTCTCCCTCCTCTCTCTGATGGTTCAGACGGAAAGCCATTAGGCTTCTCTTACCCTGCTGTGGACAAGGCAAGGAAGGTGACAGGAGAGGGGACAGAGGCTGTCCCTGTGTTACCTACAGGGAGGTAACAGAAAAATAACCCTATCAAGGGTAATGGGAGCCAGGTCCTCACAGTCAGAGGATTTGGAAATACAAACGGTGATTAGGCTCCAGCACTCTCAGAGCTGTGTTGCAATCAGAGGAATGAGAAAAACACAGAACTAGGTGTAGGGGTGAGTGTGGGCACACACATACCTCTACTTCCCAGCTCCCTCTGCGGAGAGAGGTCAGTCAAAAGGACATTAAGAATTACCTCAAAGGGGCTGCTGCTGGCCAAATCTGGGACCACTAGGGCATAAAAAAAATACAGACACTAATGAGTTATAACCCATCAAGTAAAGTAAGAATCCATGAGTTCACACAGATACAAAGACGCACAAATGCACAAGAGGAGGAGAAGGAAAAGATCCTCTTTCCAGTACAAGGCCAACTTGGAAACTCAGGAGGAATGATGAAAGCCAAATCACCATTCAAGGGCCATCAGGGTAGTGGTCATTTCAGGCAGCCATCGAAGGATGCTAAAGCAGGCGGGCGGTTTAAAGAAGTAAAGGACACTGTGTGGTCTTGGATCCACTTAATGGTGGAGAAACCAGGTGGGCACCAACCTGGCCAGGTGCTGACCAGGACTGCCATTTCTGGTGGTGGGACGGTCATCACACTGTGCTCGGGGACATGACCCGCTGGGAAGAGCACAGCATCACTTCTGTGGGATGCCTGAGCAAAATGGCCAGCCAGCCAGGTCATGAGAAAACTTTGGATAGACACAGGTTGAGGGATTTTTCCAGAATGAGAGAGCTGTACTCTTAAAGGTCACGAAAGACAAGGAGAGACTGGGGAATTCTCCCAGATTGAAGAGAGTCCACAAGCACACAGTCGAATATGACACATGCTTTAGGGCTGGATCCTGGATCGGATGGAAAAGGGGACAAGCTGGTAAGTCTGGATGGGTTCTGAAGCCTAGGGGTATGGTGGCCTGGTGCATCCATGGCTATGTTGGTCTCATTCTGGAGTGTCCTTGTTTTGGGGAAAGGAACACTGAAGTGTTTATTTTGGTTTGCATTTTGGAGGGTGACAGCTTCGTGTTTGCAACTGGCTCTCAAATGATCCAGAAAAAGAGAGAGGATAATACAGGGGAAGGACCAAGCAGATCGTGATGAAGTGTCAACATGAGGCACCTGGACAAAGGGAATATGGGAATACTCTACTCTTCTTGTGGCTTTTCTGTAAGTTGGAAATCATTTCAGAAACAACAACCTCCTGGACAAAGGCATGCGGGCAAACAGCCACACCCCAGTGCCCCAGAACTCAGTTTGGGTTCTAGAGGACACAGCGGGGGCGTGTGACAGGGCCATCAGGAAGGGGAGCTGCAGACCCACACCTGGGCAGCTGGGGCCCAGGCGACCTTGGAGAAGATCTCAAAAGTCAGGCCAAGAATCTGTTGTTTGGGCAGCAAGGGGGAGCATCCGAGATTTACGAGCAGGGGAGCAGCAGAGTATTTGGGAGGTAGAGCCATGTTCCAGAGCAGAGAATAACTGGGAGAAGAAATGCAAGCCAAGCCAAGGAGTGGTTCAGGTGCCAGGTAACGCTGGATGGGATCTTGGCAGCTGCAGAAGAGCTGGGATCTGCCGTGCAGGAGGCTTCATGATGTCCACCCGACACCAGGTGTTGGGGGTCGGGGGAGGAGATGGGGAGATAGCAAAGCTGATTCAGGTTTTGAGTATCTAATTGGCTGGAAAACCACATTATTAACTAACCGCATGCCTCCCTCGTATATAATACCTTAATATTTATCTTTCGATGAAGTCAGTTGTTCAATTTAAAAGAATATTCACCATCTAAGTAATAACATCAGTGAGGCTGTGGTTTTGATGTGCTACTTTTCCTTTTTTCTAATATATAGGTCTTAAAATGACCAGGCAGCACCCAGGCTCCGGGCAAGGCCCCTTGGGAGCTATGCAGCACACTCTGGAAAACACTGGGGCAGCTGAGATAGAGCCCCGTGCTGCTCACATCTGCTCAGTCCGGTTTCAGAAAGAGAAGCAAAGCCTGTCATAAATCAGCAAACTGGAATCTTCTGGAATCGCGCATCTTTATGAACTGTTGGTCCATTGCGAGCTTGGCATGACCCAACTGGCCAAGGGTAGGAGCCACAGTAAAGGCACGTAACATATGGGGCACATCTGCGCATCCTCTTCGGATCTCCCCCTTGTCGTTCGGAGACAAGAGCTTCGTCCTCTGGCATGAGGGGCGGATACACCTGACCTCTGCTTCAGCCGCTCCTCCAGAAGCTGGGCTTACCAGGCATCCACCTGCTCAGGACAAGCAATGCTTTGCTTTTTTAGTCCCTATGGAGAACAACGTGTTCCTTTTGTGATCCGGCAAACGATGAAGTGGGATGAGTATGACCTGGCAATCCTGAAGGCCAGGTACAAGAGTTGGGCTCAATAGATAAGAGGATTCCTAAAACCAGAGAGTTCCACCGTTCCTGGGAGCAGGGGAGTGTGAGCCCCTGACAGATAAGGGGCCTGATGAAGGTCTCAAGCACACTGTTTTTACTGATGATAATATTTTAGCATGTACTAAATGCTGTAACAAATGCAAATAAGTACAATAAAAGTTTTGACGATATAACAATAAATAATCATAAGAGCAGCGAACATTGTTAAGTGTGGAGCATGGGGTGAAGAGTTGTGCACACCCTTGCTCATCTAGCCCTTCGAAGGGGTATAAAGTGGTCAGAATTTGAACCCAGGCCCCAAAACACAGGATCCAGGTAACCCCACAGCGTGGGGGGCCTGGCTCGAGCTAAGAACAGGAAGAATCTCCCACACGACTCCAGGAAAAGCAACGTGTCTGAGAGATCCTAGAGCCCATGTCAGGGAGAACAGAGATTTTCCACTCCCATATAAGAAAGGCCAGCAATTTAAAGATTTGTCTTCAGTTAAAAAAAAAAAAATACTAAAAATTTTTTTTTAAATAACTTAAGAAAATACACAGCTACTTGTATTTGTATAGTATGTTAGATCTCCGCCAAATGGTGTTGTTTTAGGATTCTCCCCCACCCCTATGTAGTTGGCAGACAACTTATTTTATAGAATAGGAGACTGACGCTCACGGAATTAAGTCCCTTGGCAAAGAGACAGCATGGCGAGCACCCGGGCCTTCTGCCACTGACCTGTCCTCATCATAGGAACCCACGCGGTGGCCCCGGCCATTCCCCCAGTGGGCACGCCACAGTTCCGTCTGAGTTCAGCTGCACAAGGAGGCGGAGGTGGCAGAGGCCCCTGGGGGGACAGGCCAGCAGGGGGATCGTGGCTGCAGCAACAGGAAAGGACCCTCCACCTTGTTCCCTGCCATCTTCCCAGCCCAGAGTCAGCAAGGAAAAAGCTGACGGGGATGAATGAGCCACAAGGGACAGAGCCACAGGGAGGAAAACCAATGGCATCAAAGAGGTAACAGTTCCAACAATGAGGGTGACACTATGTGACATTTTATAGACACTTAACACGGAACATCTGTCCATTTCAGTTTTGAGCTGTGCTTTTCATATTTCAGGGCCAAACATTTTTTGCACACTCCTGGTAAGCCCTGGGCCTCGGTACTGGGCCTTTGCCAGTGAAGAAATAAGGCCCCTCCCCCTCTTCGCTGAGAGGCAGGATGGGGCAGGGGGCTGGAGGCTGGGCCCCCACTCCAGCAATAAAGAGCTGTGTGACCTTGTGGAAAGGCTCCTTCAAGCCTCAGTTTCCCCATCTGTCAAAGAAGGCAATGGTAGTCCCTACCTGGCCAGGGAGTGGTGAGGGTTGAGGCCAGTCCTGTAACTTTCCTCCCTCGAAGGACCCAGCAACAGTAATACAAACACAGCGGGGTACACCGTCTTCCCAACAGAGCACCCTGCAGGTGCTTTTTCACAGTCCACACGCCTGCCTCCCCTGCCCAGGTGTGTGCCCCGAGGTGTACGTACTGCTCCTTCGCCCCCCCCCCCCGCCAGGGCACTGTCGTGGGATCGGAATGAATACAGGTGGCAACAGAGGGAACCGATGTTTATGAGCACCCACTATGTGCCAGGCACTGGACGGGCCCTTTGCCACTTTGAGCAACGTGAAGCCCATTGCACGAAGAGCAAATCGAGCCTCTGGGCAGGGAAGTCACCCTACCCAGGGCCACACTGAGCTGAGCACCATCCCCTGCTCGGACTCCAGCCCTCACGGGCAGACAGGATGCATGGGCACAAGCAGCATCTCCCTCAAGGATGTGCAATGAATAGTGACAGGCAAAGCAGCCTGGTGGGGTCTGCCTTCCCACGAAAAGGAGGTGAACAGCCAGCATGGGGCCGCTGGGCAAGACCTTTTCCTCCCTGGGCTGCAGGTGCCTCCTCCATAAAAGGAGGTTTGGACTGTTCGTCCTCTATGTTCCCTTCTAGCTCAGTGATTTTTCAGATCTGGAAACCCTGAGGCTCTGGAGGTGCAGCCCCTGGGCTGGCTGAAACGGATGGCTTGGAGGAAGCCCTGGGTAGTGCCCCCTTGGCCAGGGGCCAGATTCCTGGTTAGGACTTAAGGATGGGAGGCAGGGGGTAACCTGCTGACTCAAGGCTCCAGCTCCCAGGAGACCTGGTGGCGGAGAGGAGGTGCAGAGGGAGAACCTTTTTCTCATATACAACTTAATCACGCCTTAAAAATGGCTATCAATCCCACACCCCACACTGGGTGCGGTTAGTGAGCCCAAGGACAGCAGTTGATGACAAGCTCAAAGGGGAGGAAGTCATTCCAGGAGGGACAAGGCAGGGAGGTAGTACCCACTGTTCTTTGCAAAAGATAAAGAAATTACCAAACCCAGGTACTGGGAAAAGCCACAGGATCAGGTGAGTGATGATGCAGCTGTCCCCCTGATCAAAGGGACGAAGCCAAGAGAAGACACCTGCCAAATGGGCCAGCACTTCTGGGGTCAAGATCCCGGCCAAGGGGACCTACTCCTCCCGAAAGCCAACGCAGGGAACCCACTGTGCCTCAACTCCACCAGAACACTGGCACAGAGATCAAACGGAGTCATCCGTGGGGTGGGCGGGCAGCTAATGTGGTAAAGACAGCCCAGACTCTGGACAGGACCGAGCTGAGCCTGAATCCAGCTCTGCCATTTCCTAGCCATCTGGAGCCCTGGGCAAGTCCATGAACCTCCCTGAGCCTGTTTCTGACCCTGTGAAATGGGGACAAATTGTATAACTTGGAAGGATTGTTAAAAGAAAGCAGAGCACAAAGCATCTGTACAGCACGGTGTCAATCTCGTAATAGGTCCTCATCAGACAGTCGGTGTTCGATAAACACGTGTTGACTGTATGGACGCTTGGAAAGCAGCAACAACACAAAGATGTCAGCAGCTGCCACCACCAGAGCTGCCTGGCTCCCCTTAGTTCAGGCCAGAGACGGCTCCCTCTCTAATTTTTTCGAGCCCAGAGCAGGCATCCCAGCTCACAAACAAACCGGAGTCTGCATGAACGCCTGGAGTGTTTTGACACAGACAAGGCAAAAGTTTAGTTGTTGGTTTTTTAAAACCTTGCCAAGTCCTCGGTTTCCTTTGATGGTCACAGATTTTTCTCTGCTTCCAAAATTACACAAGTCGCACAATTAACCCCAACGGCTCTCCCTACACATAGAATGCAATGAGGTCTAGACCTTATACGAGGAATAAAGGCGGACACCCCATAGTTCCAGAGACGGGGGGCCAAAGCAGACAATTGCTGGCCCTAGAAGCCAGGAGATGGGCTCTGCCCAGCACGGGAGTCCTGCCCAGGAACAGCAGGAGAGATGAGGCAGGGTCTTGTTGACCCTGGAGCAGAGAGACCCTGGCACATGGCTGACCACCAGATAACCTAGACGCAGGGAGCTGTCAGATGCAACTTCCTGGGCCAGGTAACTCACAGGTGAGCGAGCTGCAGTGAAGGCATGCAAGGTGACATCGGGCCTTTGCCTATTTAATGGGAAGGAGGCAGGGGGACGGCAGACAGCCATGGAAAGCCGAGGATCAGAGGGATAAAAGAAGGAGGGAAAAGATGCTCCTGCCCCGGGCATGAGCCAACCTCTTACTACCTCTTCTCAGTTTGGAAGGGGCCCCGTTGGGAGAACTGGCATGATGTGAGCCAGCCCCATGCCCTCAGGAGCGTAACCACGTGCTCTGAATGACACAGCAGGGGGCTCCCGGGCCTCCAAGGCCCCACATGGATGCAAGCCCACCAGGACAGGGGGCTGAGCAGGACCAGAAACGGTCAAATCTGCACATGAGCTGGTACAGCAACTACTACTTCTTTCCAGTGTTTCCCCCAGATTTGCTGTCTGTGAGCTGAACTGAAGGGAGTTTCCTATTCTTTTATTTTTACTTGTTTCCTGGGTAAACTATAAATGAGCAATTAAATGGGAGGATGGGCAAAACAGGGGGCTGGAGAGCCGGCTTCCGAATAAGAGAGAACCCTGTTCACTAGCACACCTCCTCATTTCCACTTAAAAATAATACCAATAAAAAGAAGCTCTCAGAGGTCTTAGGAACTCCACCTCCCCTAATCAAATCCCTTTGATCATAACCAGGTGAAAATAGAACCAGAACCTTCTGTGTGCACAGGACTTCACAGTTTGCCAGTATTTGCAGGCACATAATGGCACTAGCCCCCACAATCCTGTGAGCCAAGCGGGCAGGGATACGTGGATATGTGTCCACACCATTAGGAGATGGAAGTCGGGACTCAGAGACGGTTAGTGACCTGCCCAAGGGCACACAGCTGGTAGGGCTGGGGCAGGGACTCAAACGTAGGAGCTCAGTCTGAAACTGGGAGCTTTGTCTGTACTGTCCCTCCCATCCCAGGGAAAACCCATCTTGGGAACTTTGCTTTCTCTGAATTGGCCACACTAAATACCCTTGCCAAGTGCCAGACTGAAGGCATAGACCAGACGGGACCAGAGAGGAAGGGAAGGGGGACAGAGCTGATCCCCAAGATATCTGTAATGAAACCTCCACTGCAGATCATTGTCTAGAGGCCCCGGCACATTTCGTTTGCCCTCTCTATTTTTAGAGCCACTTCCCTACAAACTTTTGTTTTGCCAGGTCATCTTCTTCATGCCTTTCCTTTCTCCTGAATGGTTCCATAATCCATGGGCTGTTTTGTCATCT